CCAAATGTCATCACATTGGAGATTTAGGCTTCAGTCTATGAATTTGGGGAGGATAGATATTCAATCTAAGCATTTTGCCTCTAACCTCATCAAATTTGTGTCCTTCTCACATGAAAGACATTTATGTGAGACCCAGAAGCCTTAACTCATTTCAGCATCAACTTCAAAGTCTAAAGTCCAAGGTGTCATCTAAATGTAGTCTAAATCAGATATGAATGATACTCGAGGCAAGATTCATCCTAAGGCAAAATTCCTCTCCAGCTGTGGACCTGTGAAACCAGACAAGTTACATGCTTCCAAAATACAATGGCAGGGCCTGCACTGGATAGACATTTCTATTCTAAAAGGGGGAAATGAAGAAGAAGGAAGGCATGATGCAACCCAAGGAAGTCCAACACCTAACAAGGCAAACTCCATGAGATATCAAGGCTCAAGAACAGTCCTTTTTGGCTTGATACTTTGCCTTCTGGACCCACTGGATCATGTAACCTTGGCAGCCGTACAGGGCCTCACACTTAGAAAGGATTTGCACTTGGTTTAAGGCTCTGCTATTGTAATCTTGAAAATATTAGTAATTTTTAAGCAAGGGATTCTGCATTTTCATTTTGCAATGAGGCCTGCAAAGTATGTAGCTTGTCCTACTTCCTTGGTTTTAATTATTCCAACAAATTGGTATGGAAGGGAGGGAGGGGGAAAGGGACAGGCAACTTCTTGACTCGCCAGTTTTGAAATCCTCTCTCTCTTGGTTGTCACTGTTTCTCTGCCCAAAAATGATCTCTAGAAATGAGAACTTCAGAGCTGTATTTTTTAAGCCACTTCATCCATCCTGTGCCCTTTTCCATCTCCCCTTTGTGGGAAGGGTATTCCCCCAACTTCCTTGAAATCATGGGAAGAGGCACCAAAATTAACCAAGGTTACTCCATAAGGAAGGGACCTGATTTACTTACTCTTTTGATTGGCTGCCTAGGGTTATTACAGACATTGCAGTAGGTGACTGTGCTTGAGCTATTTTGCTGGTGCCCTAACCATGGGATTGCCTATTGGGTACTGGGAACCAGGAGCAAGATGCTTGAATGGATGGGAGCAGGAGAGAGAGAGAGAGGCCATATGGGGGGTGGGTCATTGGCTGCAGGAGGAAGAGGTAAAGCTGGAGTTACAGTGTGTCTTCTATTCAGAGAAATGTTCACAGTGACACCACGGGGCCTTCCAAAACATTCACATCTGTATCCTATGGGGAAAGCAGATGTTTGATTTCCTTCCCCAAGAAGGAAAGAAGGGTGGTATTAACTAGAGAAGCAATCGTGGTCAACAGAGAATTACAGTTTCACTTTCAGATAAAGAAAGGAATATTTTCCCTGCTTCCTTTCCCTCCCCCAGTGCCCAACACTGATAAAGATAGAACCAGAAAAAGTAGGGGAGGGAGAACAAAAAATAGCAGACACTGTCCCTTTTCCCAGTTCAAGCTCCTCAGGCCGAAGCCTGGCTGGTGCTTAGCAGAAGGGAATACGAGCTTTAAACCACATACAAGAGCCAGGCTGTAAATTGGATTAGACTGGCTGGAGATTTGAGTAATGAAAGAGACCAGAAGCTATGGGATTTGCCCTAGATTCATAATAGGGTGGCAAAAAAAGTACCTAACAAAACACAGCTGGCCTAATAGTTGAAAAAATTTAAAAATGCGTCATGTTTTTGTTTGCCTCATGTAATTCAGATTGTTTTTAATAAACCATTTACATTTGCAAGTTGGCTGCCGGAAGCAGCCAGGGAAATGTCTTCCTGTTCAATTTTTGGAGTTGGAGAGAGATAAAGAGAAAGAAAGAGAGGGAGGGAACCTCTATATAATCCCTTCCCTTCAGTTTGGGCAATTTTAGGTACCAAATCTACCCCTAAACTGATAAGGATTCTCACAAAGGAAGCCTGGCTCCAATAGGCTTAGTCCCATTGGATTTCATCCGTGCTCTGGGATGGAATCGGCTTCTCCTACCTCACACGGGTTATGTAGAGAAAGGTGAATTCCTACATAAAATCAAGTAGAGAGCGCGAGAAGGGGTACTGCTGACTAGGTCACCAAATCTCTCCACTACGTAGGGCCACCATATGAGATCATCATCTGCTTCCATTTGGCAATGACCCAGGTTGCCCTGGGCAGTGTTGACCAATTTTCTTTGGGTTGCTCCATGCCAAAGATCCCCTCCATTCCTCACAGTCAGTGGGAGTCACTCATGCCCAGATAGGGAAGGGACAGGTGTCACTTCCAGCATGTAACTGATGACCAACAGGCCTGTGTGCCGCGGTCACTTAATCACCCCTATCCTTCTCTCCATTAGCCTGCCTCAAGAGAGATTTCTTTAACTCCCAGGCCCATCATGAGTCAGCCTCAGCATTTGTTACTCTGAAAATACCCTCCTTTTACTTTATTTTTTTTCTTTTCTCTTGCTGCCTTCCGGAGTCAAGCTCTAAAAACAGAATTTAAAATACATCTCCTGGTGTGTGTGTCTGTGATGTTCATTCTTCCTATGCTGAAAATTTGGCTGGCGCACACTTCCTCTGTGCTCCGTTGAACAATTCTGCTCTTTAGTTCACTAACTTTTATTTGGAACAGTTGAACGGTACAGCATTACCGGTTGAGAATGTTTCATTATAATATAACATTTAAAAAATTAAATATAACATTTTAAAAATGCTTCTGAAAGCATTATGAAAGAAGTCAAACATGCATTTTTTTCTTTTTTGGTGATTTAAGAAGAAAATTTTTATTGCGATTTTACACTTTTGGAAAACATCCTACAACCTGGTGTGTTAATCCAGGTTGAGGACACCTTTACATTTTGCAGGTAAATGAAGTATTTGCCTTGAGGAAGCCTATGTGAATGGTCTAGAAGTACAGTCTCTTTGCATGGGGACACTAAATAGTTAACCCAGTCTTCCAAATAGTCATCAACTCGACTTTTCCAGTCTTAATTGCTATCAGTGTCAAGTAACACAAAGTTTTGTTCATTGTTCTCTCTCCTTACTTTGGGGGAGTAATGGTAACTGAGAAAGTATAAGATCGAACCGGTGAAAGATGATTTGTGGTCTGTGACTCTGCTTCTTTCCCCCTCTGCTTGTCTATCCTTTGACCCCTCTCACTTCTCATGCCTCCAGTTTACGCCAGTTTAAAACCTTGCAGTGCAAGATAAGAGTGCAGACTCTGGTGTTAATCTGGGATGAATTCTGCTCCGCTTGATTCTAGTTCTGTGATCTTAAGCAAGCTACTTCTTCTTGGCCTGTGCTAGGTTCTCCAATAATGAGATGGTAATAACACCTCCTACCTCATAGGGCTGTTGGGGAGATTGAATGAGTTAATACATGGAGAGCACTTAACGTTCCCTGGTGCACGAAGCGAATGCTCAGTAAGTCTTAGTTGCTCTTGTTATTTTTCTTATTATTCTTGGATACCTTGATTAGGTACCCTCCCACCTCTGAATCGCAATTTTCTTACCTGCAAAATTGAGGCCATAGTTTCTTTCTGCACGCAAATAACTCATATAGACCTGAGCAAGGAGCCCAGAGGGTGCAGTCATGTGTAAAATGCTGGTGAATTAACACTGCGGAGATTCATGCCATGGCTGCCCTCTATTTCCAGATTCATTAGAAGAGGACCAGATGTGGACTTCAGTAAGATGCTAGTGGAGGTCACTTTCTTCCAACTCAAGGGCTTGCCAAAACCTCCATTCTGAATCTGGAAAATCCATTTCTCCCAGGATTAAGTTCATTTATTTTTCAATGTTATTTATTTAGTAATCAGAGGAGTTCTGATGATGACAGTCTTGCCCTTGACATTCTCAAAGACAGGGCTCCATGCCTCGGGCAACAGTGTGCCCATGTGTCATCGACCCGTGTGCTCACAAAGGGCAAGTGAATGCAACGTGTGGGGGTGGGGCAGCAGGAGCTGGAGACAGTTCAGAAAATGTCAAGAGGGATTGTACTGGAATCTCAGTGGAAGGTGGAAAGATACACAGTCCGAGGAACATCTACCTCCATCCAATCACACTGTGACTACTTTTCTTAAGAGGTGTGAAGCTTTTGGAGAAAAAAATCATCCATGATTTGGCAACAAAAATTTATTGATTAGTTTGCAACTTTAGGTTCAACATATATAATTTCATCACATGGTTACAATTAAGTATTTGTGCTTTGTAGGATAAGTAAACATTCATTCAAGCACAACAGAAGTCTACACACAATATTCTGGAGTTGTTTAAAAAATAAATATATCTTCTCCCATTTAGTACCACAAAGGACTTCCGGTTTGAGATGATGGATAAATGTTAAAAGTTGACATTTGTTTTATGTGTCATATTAGACACATAACCTAAATTTGGACTATTTCTTTTAATAATAAATACTCAATGAATACTGGAAAGGATTCCTGATGTGGGTGGTAGGGAGGAAGTATGGCTTACAATGAAGCTTTCCTGACATTTTTCAAGATGTTGATGACACACAAGACCAGAATTGATGGCGTGGGGCCTTGTTCACAGTTAAAATTACTTCACAATTTAAAAAATAGTGTAAAAGCATAGTATCTCAGGAAATTTTTAATGAACACTTTCTTTGATCAAGAAAATAAAAGCCAGTCTAGCTCACTTAGTTGATGAGAAAGAAGACTTATTAGGGAAAACTTAGATACCTTTGCTTTTCAAGAGTAAATCTCTGTGATTAAAATATTTAAATGTGAAAAGATTTTCTTTTTCTCAAATAAACTGCAAGTATCCTTAACTCAGGAAGTCTGTGTTCCTAACTGGCTATGTCAAATCCTGTATCCATCATTATAAATGTCATCTGACTAGCAGGTATGCCATACGGGTACCAACACATTTATAATGAAACCACTGAGTTCAAGCGCCAATACATGACTTAAGACAGTAATCTCTTCATACTTTATGAACCTTGAAGGCTAACTCAATGTATTATTTAAGATAGTCTCTTCATAATTTATAATAAAAATAAACAAAAAGTTTATATTTTGTATAATTTAATATACAAGCAGATTTTATCACAAGACTCTTTTTTTGTAAGAAAGCATTCCCTTAGGATGAGAGTTTTGTAATCATGTTACTCATGTCATATTGGGATGGAAACAAGACAGTCTTTGATCTTTCTCTCTCTCAGCTGAACAGCGGTAGTTTTCTGATTAACTAGGAATACAGATACTGTTGGGAGATGTGAAGTATTTATCAGTGGACTGTAGTGAATAAATGAAATCACTTCAGTAGAGGACATGGAGACACTCTTGCATTTCTGTTAATATCCATTGATAATGGTCTGAAACTGGAAAGCTTTTATATCAAAAATCTGGAAATTTCTCACCCATATCTTAAGTGTTTACCAGAGCCGACAGACCCTCAACCCACTCAAAAAAGTAAAATAAAGATTACAACTTAGTTGACAAAATCACTTTGACCAGTGACTTTGTTTCCAGTTGATTCACATAATTGGAGAAATTACATACTATTTATATTATTAACAATATGCAAGTGCAACGTTCCTGGAGTTTGGGCCTAGTGACAAGGTTTTCGTTTGGGCCCATTAAATGTTCTGGTTTCCTGGCCATTCTAATACAAGCTCTTTGGAACTCACTTACAGGTTGTGTTGATTTGTGCAGACCTATATTTTGCTTTTCCTCAGGTTCAGTCCATGCGCAGTAGACTTGGATAGCAGGCTTTTTAACAGCTGTGTTAATGTAATGTGATGTTTTTGAGGAAGTTGCAGACCACGGCAGTCTAAGCTGGAGTGAAGGGAAGGAACACTCTACAAGGCAGCGCTGCCCTATCCCAGTTCCAGGAGCCAGTCAAAGAGACTCGGGGCCCCAGCCTTCCGCTCCTCGTCCATCTTGCAGTACTGAACAACCGCATGGAAGATATCCCCCACTTTCCAGGACTTCTGATGAACCAGCCGCACGACATCTAGAAACTGAAGTAAAGCACAGAGTTAGGACTCACGCATCGCAGAGGACCCTCAGAGTCATCTCGTCCAATCATTCCTCCAAAGCCAGTGACTCTCCAGGTTGTTTCTGAATATCTCTAGGGACAGAGGATGACATTCTAGGACAGTCGACTTTCTTTTTAGGCAGTTCAGATTATTAGAGAGTTCTTTTAACCGAACTGAAATTTTCCTCACAGCAGCTGCCACCCGTTGATTTGGGGAGACTATGTGGAATTCTTCTTCTTTGAAGAGTTCATCTCTTAGCTATTTCAAGAGTTTCCTCAGAGCTGCTTTTCTCTGGGTTAGACCCTAACAGGACTGTGTAGTGTCGCTCCCACTTCTTTCTATCTGTGTCACACATAATCTCTCATTGGATGTATACGTTTAGGACAAATAAATCAAATGCTGAACTTTTGGGTAGGGTAACTTACTGGTTCCCCATTCCACCTTGAAAAATTTCCTCCTTCATCATCGAGTTTCAAGAGACATTGGCTTTCCATTGGAACAGGAAAAGGAAAGACTGAGGAAACATCCCAGATTTGTCACCTGGTTAACGGTATCAACGTCAACTGGCCACAACTTAGAAAGTTTTTGACTGTAGGTAAATTGTCAGCTGAAGCACTTGGAAGATGGGGAAATCATTATAGATCATTCCTTTCATGAAACTATGGGATAAAGCCCAGCGTGAAGGCTTCTAAAACTCCTTCGTCAGATACTTCTAAAGAAAAATAACAGTTACTAAGAACCAAACCCTGTAGGAAGTACTTTCACACACGTGTCTCATTGAATTGTGTCAACAACCCTATAAAGCAGACATTTAAAGGTGAAATATTGCGAGCTTGTGAGATGAGAAGTCGGCAGTAGGATGCATGGTCTTTTTGCACCCCAGCCCGAGGCTCTTTGTGCTACAGCACTCTGCGTATTTTTGTGGAAGGAAAACAAGACATTGATATTTATTTGCAATACTGGGAGAAAGGAGGTTGGAAATCTGGTACAGTTTTATGAGGAAGAAAAGCTTCTTTGCTAAAAAAGATGAGGGATGAGGTTCAGTTACTGTTTCTTCAATGTTTCCTCTCAGAATTTCTTTGCTCTGCTCTTTTTGCATTTGCTCAGACTTTCAAGATCAGTCAGAAATTGGAATGCTATGTTTTTTTTGGGTCTTTTCCCCTCTCTTCGGTTTGACTGTGTTAATTATTCCAATTACTGAGACGTTGTCTTACAGAGAACTACTATTAAATTATGTTTCTTCTCCCAGCTGTAATGGTACCAATGACTGCACAGTTATAGAAATCAGTATGTTACTGTGCTTACTTGCCTTGTGTGGGTTTAGTTAGAATAAAGCAATTTTCCAGGCTGGAGAATGAAATGCTTCACTTTTAATACGTGCAAATATAAACATTATCTCAAAGAGCTTCAAGATGATGTAAAAAGGGAGACCAATGGGAAGCTGAAGGCAACTACACTATGGATAGTCATGTCTCAGGGAAGGACATCATCTCAGCCACCTCTTAGCATCTCACGCCTGCACCTAAAGGGCTCAATAAATATGTGCTAAATAACAGAAGAAATGAACAACTAAACATGAGGCAAATGCATTCGATCTGGTCAAGAAGACTATTTGAAATATGGAGACACATCCAGAATCCCTGAAGATGAGCCTTGTCTATTCATTCTTGAGTTTCATATAATGGATTTGCACATATATAATTTTAAAAATTGACATGCACATCTTGAGGCTGCTTCTTCAAAAATTTTCTATTGATGGGATGCTCTGAAAAATAGTTGGAGGCCGTGGATCTAGGCAAAGGCTGAGCAGAGCCTAGACTGGGGAAATGGTAGCAGGCAAAGAGCAGAGTAAAAACTGGTCGTGGGGCATCTGTCTCGTCACACTGGGACTGAGAGGAGGCCTGTGTGCCGTGGGGGTGGGGTGTTCCCGACCTCTCTTCCCTGGTCACTACAACAGCCATGGAAGGTTCGCTGCAGTCAGCTCTATCAGTCCCACTGACAGAACTTCAGAGACTACTAGTTGTCTGATTTCCCCTTACAACTCTTTCTAGCCTTCTGTCTGTCAGATCCCTAAAATTTTAGAGAGCTTAATCTTTTAAGTTAAGGCTTTGCTCAAAATGCAGATACCCTCAGAACATTCCAAGGGGCTACTGGCAATTTATGGAGATGCATAAAAATAATCTTGTGAGCTGTTACGTGTATCTTGGTGTGTAAGAAAGACCCCAGGCATGTTTTCCATTGGACGAAGGGGTAAAAACAAGAGGTCTCAGAGAACAAGGGAGAAAGGCTAGGTTGTCTTCACATGATTTGGTTAATCAGGATTTTCCAGCTCTTACTAAAAGCTTGGAAAGTAGGTGTTCCCAGTGGAGAATGCTTGAACACGAAGCTTGTGGGGTCTCACTGAGAGAGGCTCATAAGCACTGACTTCTCTCCAACTTTTCCCTCCAGGTCATCAGTGGTCTTAGGCCAGACTTGTCCTTTGAGGGTGCTTCCTCTTCCTTAACATGTCTTAGACACAGTCAATATAAACTACACAGAAATATAAACTTAGACATGGCATTTTTATTTTTTTCTTTCTGTACATACCGGCTGACTGGGCCGCCATATTATTCCCAGCTTTTATCTCTGAGCCTTTGTTCTTAGAGACAATCAATATTCTAGAGCAGATGCCAGCATTTGCTAAACCTTTCCCAGAAGGCTGCCTGCTTTAGATCTTTCTGCAAGCCCAACAGTAGCTACTTTCCATCTATTTGGGGCTTCCTGAAGGAGGATCTCCCAGTGTGGTGATGACCATAGGATGTTGCCGACTGGCCCAAAGTTGTCAAAATGCCCTACCAGCTATTCCCCTCTGTTAGCAGTTTGTGGAATTGTCACACGCTAGAATCTGTCTCGTGATTTCTAAATCCAGGACGGTATCCCAATAAAGCAACTTTTAAAAATGATCTGGCCCCACTAAATATAGCATGCTCTTAGGCTGTGATGACTTCATCTCAGACTCTGAGACCTTGAAATATCTGTGGGGCTGATGAGCAGGAATGTCTTACAACTTTCTTTTCTTCCTTCATTAAAAAAAATCTAGATAAGAATGAAACTACGTTTGTGAAGAAAGCAGAAAAGGACATTTCTAGCTCATTACCACATCATTATAAAACCTATTTAGCCGTTGGTCCTAGATCTTCCATTTTGTCTGTCCATGTCACTGACTTGGTAATTTCATAATCAGCTTTGTTATGTCAGGGATCTGAGTTTTTCTTCCCAATGCACTGAAAAATCAAAATAAAAAAAAATTTATTTCCTGCCATTTCACAATCAGTAATAATTAGGCTCGCCTCCCATGTGTCATGGTTGGCATTTCCTTGAGCAAATGTTTTGTCTTAGGAAACTAGAAGAATTGACATCCTGTGATGGTATTATTATTGCTAGACTTGTTTGAAGAAAAGTAAGACATGGTAGATGCATTTTATATTCTCAGGTGCATTTACTAAAGTAGATTAATTGTTTACAAAAGTATGTGGTGGAATCCATGGATATTGGTGCAAGTTGTGTGGATTTTTGGAAAAATTCAACTTCGATTTCTGAAAGCAGCTACCTTCCTTGGTTTCAAGGCAGAATTCCATTTCATTAAGCACAAGTGAGCTGGTCTTTATATTGCTCCTGCGGTGATGGCCTGGAGAGTCATGATTCTCAGCCTTGGCTGCACCCTAGAACCCCCGGGGACCTTGAGAAAACCCCAGTGCCTGGGTTTTATCCCAAGATGAGATTCTGATTTAACTGCCCAGAGCACTGGGGGCTATAAAATCTCCCCAAGTTATTCTAGTCACACTGTATTTGAGAACCATGACAAAAGATTTCAGTTCAAGACAGACATGTTTCTTACAGTCACAAATGAAGAGACAGTATCTGTTATAGACTGAATATTTGTGTCACCCCACAATTTATATCCTGAAGCCCTCAAAGACAAATATGATGGTATTAGGAGGTGGGGCCTTTGGGAAATAATTAGATTTAGATAAGGTCCTGGGGATGGGGCTTCACATCCTTATAAGAAAAGGAAGAGACACCAGAGCTTTCTCTCTGCCATGCAAGGACCCGGAGAGGAAGAGGCGCTTCACCAGGAAATGTACCTGCTGGCGCCTTGATCTGAGACTTCCCAGCTCCCAGAACTGAGAGAAATAAATGTCTGTTGTTTACGATCTTTTGTTATGGCAGCCTGAGCTGTTACAGTATCCAAATCTTCCTTATTTTTCCTTCATTTGTCATGTAGTTTTTCAAATCTGAGACTTCAAGTGTAGTTTTTTGGGGAAAGTTAGGTTAACAGCAAATGCCATCAACATTTTCTCTTTCCACAACTTTGCACGTGGAAAGGAAGAAGAAATTAAAAGTGAGGCGACTCCTTTTCTGAACCCCACTTTCTTAGGAAGGTAAGTACACATCTGTTTCTCTTTGCACGTTCTGTTCTATGTGCTGCCTTCAAGAAAAGGAAGTAATTCTCAAAACAGGCTTAAAGATGAGAAGGGCACCTGATTTGCTGTGAGACCAGCCCATTCCAGCTCACAGGAGCTCACTGAATTTAAACAGAAGTAAAAGAGTTGGAGGGAAATAATGCTTTGGATTAAAAAAGCAGAACAATTAGTCAACTGATATATATATATCTCCAAATTGCCCTCATTGTTTTTTTCTGCCTTGAATTAAATAGATTAAATTTACTTGATGTCAAGGTCATTGTGAATTAAATTTACACACTGTTTTCGATTTTCAGGTGCTAGGATTCTTAGCAATATTTCCTTTGGAATTGAACATATTTAAAAGCCACCTCAAATTCTGCTTCTCCTGTAGGATATTTCTTATGGAAGGGAGTCTCCAATTTCAGTGTTCATCAGAATCACTGCATTTGAGGAAAGTTGTTAAAAATGCATGTTT